AACACCAACAAGACAGCTGCAGAAGAACAGCAAACATGATCTCTACTGATCAAATTCCAATTTGACTCTTCAGCAAACACAAGCTACAAACAATGCCACACATGCACATATCAGGTGCAGAAAAATTTGAAAAAATTAACCTTATAAGAAATTTTTTTTCTGATAGAACGTTTATTCGAGGTAATATTAATTCAAGTTTTTTAACATTAACCACAAAGTTTAACATTTTTTCAAATTATAAAACAATTATTTTTAAACCTCAAATAATCGTTGAAACACAAAGATTGAAAGAATTAACGAGAATAAAAGAAGAGGTAGAAGATGGAAACAAAAATCTAAATAAAAACTTTCCACAGTTGGTTGAAACATGCCAGCAAGAGATTCACTACACCACATTCTAACGCGTAAAAACATTTTTTTGATATCGTCATCGTCACTATCTTTATCATCACCATCCTCACCACCATCACCATCACCATCATCATCATCACCATCGTCATCACCATCATCATCATTTGTTATGAAAATCATCAACTTCATAACACCAGCAAAGAACCATAATAAAACGCCGCAAAAATTAAAGCAAAATTTTTAAATATTTAATTGAAAGTTAAAAATTAAATAAACAAAGTATCAAAAAAACTGTAATTAAAAATATTAAAAAAAAGAAGTATTAATATAAGAAGCCGCTAAAAAAATTTTCACAAAAAAGAATCCTAAAAATCATAAACAACGAAACCAGCAACAACAACAACCACAGCAGCCAGGAAAGATATCATCAATAAAGTTAGCAGAGCTCTCCACGCAGAGTAATAAACAAAGGCGTATTGACTGATTGGTCTGCTCATAAACAATCCATTCAATATCTAAACAACCCTGTACACATTCTACGTAAAACTTTTCAACACTATATATACAAAACTCATGTGCAACTCTTACACACACACACACACACGCACACACACACACACACACACACACGCACACACACACACACATATATATATATATTTTTATAATTATGTATATATAAAAACATTTTTAGTTACAGTATGTTTGTATATACGCAAACATGTACAAATGGTTTCAAATGAAAATAGTTGCGTATATATTTTAATTAATATTTTGGCAAGTCTATATATTAAATTTTTTTATTTAATATTATTTATAAAAAATCAGATTAATCCGAAGTGCACGTTATCAATGTAGAATACAACATTCAAATTATTTTAGCAATCGAAAAGATGATAAGCACAGTGTCAAAAGTAGCCAATCACACACTTGCACGCACGCACGCACACACACACATACAAAAAACGCACCTAAACTAATAAAACACATACACGCGCACACAAACGCACAAAAACAGCAGCAATGGCTTTCTCACAATTATTTTTATGTTAACTTTTATAACGCCAGCATAATTAGAGGCACACGAATAAGACATAGAGGGAAAACGAAGACGAACAAGGAAACAGTCGCTATAGATTATAAACTTCAGTTTTATTTGCATGTGAATGCCAAATTCCTCATCATAAACACAAACAAACGCATCGAAATTCGCGTAAACAGGCACATACGGAGAGCAAACGCGAATGTGCGCGCGTACTTATAGGCGTATAAAACTTATAAAATACGCTAGGTACTGCCAATAAACATGTATAAACACACGCACTAACGAAACAATGAAGTAAAAAATAGCGGCTCGTAAACGTCAGCGTAAAGTTGCAATAAAAACATCAACAGCAGCAACTGTAAGATGAAAAAAGGCGCGAAAATGAACGAGCAGACGAGAACAAGCCAGCGCATCTTAACATGGGAATGTATGTTGAAATGTATGAAAGTGTAAAGTATATATTTACGTGTATGCACGTATAATTATACAACACACATATAAGTATGCTTGTATGGGCATGATCATACGTACGCAAGAGCATAAACGTATGCATGAGTGCAGTGCTGTGCGTGTGTGGTCCTTTTAAGCGTACTTTTATGCCAGCGTTTATTTGATTTTTAACGTTCTCGTTTCTGGTGTTGTGTTGTTGTTGCGTTGTTTCTGCTGTTATTGTTGTTGTTGTTTTGCGTCGTTCGTGCAGTTGTTGTGCGTGACCTGACGTATATTGTTTTTTTTTTATTATTTTTGTTTGTTTCACTGGTTTGTATTAATTTTGATGTTTGAATTGTGCGCGTGTCAGCTGAAAGGTCGGTTGAAGTCTGGCTGCACTTCGTCCTGTAGGTCCTCTCTTCAAATTTTTCTACTCTTCAATCTTTCTTTTACCTCTTAAAATTTTTCCTCAGTTAACTTTTGTAAATAATCATTCTGCATACGTAATACAACATCTGAAATTCATTTGTGTCATGTGCCAACTTTTTTGTCAAAAAAAACACACAACTTTTATCTGTTACATCAGATTATACTTATTTCAAAAAAAAAAATAAAAAAAACGCAACAAACTACAAACATTGAGTCCTATAAAGCATTGAGAACATCCAGAAATAAATAACAAAATACACGATAACAAATAAACATGCCTATAAACAGCCGTAAATTAATATTAATAACATCATTATGTAAACACCTATGCTGTCTGCCTTCCATTGAATATATCTACCCAATTGATAATAACAAACAGTAAGATGGAATTATACTTATTTTTAATAAAATTATACTTATTATACATACTTACTTGAAGATGCAATACTATCGCTGAGTATACGCTAATTTCACCAAAAAACAAGAAACACACACAAGTAAGTAAACTAATTACCGTGCATAAGTTACCCTCAAATATATACCCAGCTACAACTACATATACATTCATACATACAAACAAACATTGTAGACAAATACCTGTCGATACAAACATACAAAGTCAAAAAAACATGTAATAACCGCAGGTTTACAATACAATATATTACAATAGATCACATTATAATACAATACAATACATTTCATTTGACTTGAAAATAAAAAATATAGGAAAAAAATTCATACAAAAATACAAACGTAAAAAAGATAGGTATACACAGGCAGACATCTCTTACTAACACACGTGAACGCAACAACACACACCAACCTTCATGGAACTCCATGTGTCTGTTAGCGTCAACGAGGTTTGTGAAGGATTTCTTGCAGAGTGAACAGTGGTAAACCGTTCGTCCGTCTGCTAATTTGATAACACGACATGGTTCGTTGCGTTTGCAGGATGATGACGATGATGACGACGATGACGACGAGTGTTTTGCTGCTTCATGTCTGCTGGTGTGAGTGTGTGGCGATGTTTGGTGAGTAAGTGAGTGGAGTGGGTTATAATAAATGTCAACGTCCATAGTTAATGCGTATCAGTGTAAGTATGGATAAAGTGCGTGTATTTTCAATGCTTTCCAACATGTTCATTAATTGTTATATTTGCAGTCATCAACATTCATCATCATCTTCATCAGAGTTGTTAAAAATAACCTGGAAGCAGATGATGAAGAGGATGACGACGTTGATTTGTTGACAGTCAGTGTCGACTTCACTTCCGGCTTGATGTCATACGGTGTCGCCATGTTAGGATCACGTGACCAGAAGTTTGTTGTTAATGCTGAAAAATGCATGTTGTTGTTGTTGTTGTTTGTCATGTTGATGTTATCGTTGTTGTTGCTGTTGTTGTGGTGGTGGTGGTGGAGGTAGAACGAGTTGGCATGGTGCTGTTGATAATGACTGTATAAACTGTGGTTATTGTTGCAGCTGCTGTTGCTGTTGTTGTAGGCGCTGCGAAATAATGCGAGCTGTTCATCCAGTCTTGTTTTGGTTGTTGTTGATGTTATCGCGTCTGGATCTGTTTTGAAGGGGTAGAATAGATAAGGAATATTATTGATGTTGCTGTTTGAAGTAGTGGCTGCTACTGCCGCTGTGCTCGCTGCAATTGCATTCATGTTCTGCAGCGGCGAGAGATAGAAAGGGAAGAAATTTTTAAAAGTTGATAAGGCGTAAAAATTTGTTGCTGCTGCTGTTGTTGACGATGTTGTTGTTGTTGTAGTTGCTGTTGAAGTGTTCAGTGGCTGTTGATCCGTAGTAGCATTATTGTGATGTGATGATGTTTTCTGCTGGCTAGCTGTGTTGAGGCGTTTTTTATTGCTGTCATTAACGTTGTTAGTTAATGTTGCTTCAGTTGATGTTGGCTTTTGCGTTGATTTTGAATTGTTGATGTCTTCAATCTTGTTGTTTCTCTTGATGTTATCGTCATAATTGTTTGCAATGTCTTTGTTTTTTGCTTGGTATTTATTTTCCTCGCAGTTGTAACTACCCATATTGATGTTATTTAGATGAAATGGATGAGTAAAGGACATCATCGGGTGATAGGAAGAAGAAATTTGACGCTGTTGTTGGTGCTGTTGCTGTTGTTGTTGGTGCTGCTGTTTTTGTTGTTGATGATGATGATACGCCGCAAGATTTTGAATCATTTTAACAAACTCCAGGGTGTGGTAGTAGGGGTTAAAGAAGCGCATGGGGGGTGAGGACAGGGGGGTGAAGGTGAATGACTGCTGTGGAGGTCCTTGAACTGGCGACGATGGACTGATCGTGAAAGTTGGCGAATCAGTGGATGATGTTTTGATGCCGTCGTCGTTGTGGTTGTTGTTGTTGCTGTGGTTGTTGTTGTTGTTGTGGTTGTTGTTGCTGTGGTTGTTGTTGCTGTGGTTGTTGTTGTTGTGGTTGTTGTTGTGGTTGTCGTGGTTGTTGTTGCTGTTGTTGTTGTTGTTTTCATTTTCATTGCTGTTATCTTTTTTGTAGTTATTGATGTCGTTAACTTTTTTACTATCGTTGTCTTCGTCGTTTTCCTTCTTCGTTTCATAATCTTGTTTAGTTTGAATTAGTTGATAGTTAGTGTAGTTAGTGTGATTAATGTTGTTGTTTCTAGCACGGTGAATGTTGTTGTTGCAATCAATGTCGTAGATATTATTGTTATGGTTGCTCATATCATTATTGTTGTTGACATTAAATATACTGTCCTTCATATGAGCATTATCTTGATTCGTGAAACAAACTTTTTTGCTAATATTTTCAAATGAGTTGTTGTTGCCATTGAAGTTGCTGTCATGGATGTTAATGTTATTTATGTTGTTGTTGCTATTGCTGTTATTGAAGACATTGCAGTTGAACCAGTTGTTGTAGTGTTGTTTGGCTAGCCAGTGTATGGAATCGAGTATGTTTGTGTTTGGGGTTGGCAAATACGCTGGCGACAATGACTTTCTTGACGTGGGTGATGATGGAGTTAGCGAACGAGGAGATGAGGACGGTGAAGATAACGGTGATGACAATCCTTCACCTTTATTATTATTATTATTATTGTTGTTGTTGTTATTGTTGTTGTTATTCAAATTATTGTTGTTGTTGTTATTCAAATTGTTGTTAATATTATTAGTAGTATTGTCATTTTTATCGCTAAAAGTTATGTTTCTATCACCGTCAGTTTTATTGAGATTATTGTTTGGGTCATAGATTTCATTAAAAAAATGATTACTGTTGATTTTTAACCCATCGTTATTTACTCTCTCAAGAAATTCATCGCGAAGTTTGTTTTTGTATTTAAAAATATTTTTATTATTTTTCTTTCCATCATCGTCCTCTTCATCATTGGCACTATCGTCATCATATCTTGTCAAATTGATTTGCCTGCTGAAGTCGTTGACTTTTTTGCGGTCGTCATCATCTTTGTCATTATTACTGTCGTCCGTAGCGTTAATTTTGTTATCACTTGTCTGGTCATCACAGTTTGTCATCATGACATCAAGCGTATTGTCGTCAATTATGTTGATGTTGTCATCGTTGCTGATGTTGTTGTTGGTATCGTTGTTGTTGTTGCTGTTGTTAATGTTATACTGCCCTACAAATTTACTTTTCTTATAATTTTGCTTAAATTTACGAATGCGATCCTTTTTATGTTTTGATAAGTTGTAACTAAAATCAAAATCTTCATTTATTTTAACGTTGCCATTTGCATTGTGGCTAGCGTTATTATCATTATCATCAATGTCATCACTGACATCAATGTTATTGTTGACATCACATTCATCATCGTCGTCGTCATCGTCTTCAAATTCTCTGTGTCGTTTCTGAGTTTTTCCCTTTCCGATGTTTGAGCTGTTGTTTATTACGTCATCGTTTGTTTTCCTGTTGTTTGGATTGTTGTTGATGTTTTTGTTGATGTTGTTGATGATGTTGTTGTTGCTGCTGTTGTTTATGTTGTTGTATTTGTGGTTTGAACTGTTGTTGATGTCGAGTTTTTGTTCAGCGTAAAAATTAATGTCATTCCTGCCGTTAAAATGCTTGTAACTCTCTCTATTAATGTCTTTTTTTGCTATTATATTGACGTCGTTGTTGAGGTTTTTGTTGTTGTAAGCAGTGCAACTAATATCGCTCTTGAAATCGTTTATAATATTTTTGTTAATTTCGTTGTTGTTAATGTTATTGGCAGTGCAATTGTTAATGTTGTTGGTGTTAATTTGATCAGCACATTTGGTTTCGTTTTGATTACCAAAACCATGGCAGGCGATATTGGTGACGACATTATTTTCAAAAATTTTGTTGGTATTGTTGTTGCTGCTGTTGTTTTTATTGTTGTTTTTATTGTAGCTGACGTATAATTCGTCAATCCTTTCAAGTCTTCCATCATATATCGAGTCTGTTGTTTCGATATTATCACATTTCAAACTGTTGTTGTTGTTTGCGATGTTGTTGTTTTCGTCGTTGTTTTTGTTTGCGTCGTTGTTGTTGATGTTGTTATTGTTGATGTTGTTTTTTGTGTTGTTAGTGTTAGTGATGTTGTTGTAACCATTAAAAATATTTCTAGCAGCATTTGAGTTGCCAACATTTTTGTTTTTGTTGTCGTTGTTGTTGACATCATTGTTGCCAGAGTCGTTGGATACAAAAACTTTGTGTTTGCTCAATTCATCTATCATAGAGATATTACTTCTGTAGTGATTGAAAGTTTGACCGACGTTTTGGTAGTAGTAGTAGCAGCTGTTGTGGCTGGTGTCTTTTATGTGGCAGTCGTTTTTGATGTGATTGATGTTAGTGTTGTCGTTGATACTGTTGTTGATGTGGCTGTTACTGTTGTTATTATCGACATTGTTGTTTGTGTTGTTATTAATGTCAATGAAATTGTTTTTTGCGAATGTGTCAGTTGTATCGTAGTCATTATCGTTAATATGTTTGGCGTCGTTGTTTATGATACTCATGTTATCATTGTAAGTGTTGTTGTTTTTGCTGTCAGTATTGTTGTTGACGAAGTTGTTGTTGTTGCTGTTGTTGTTGTTGTTGCTAAAGGTTGTTTGCTGAGCTGTGTGTGTCATTTTAGAGCAATTATTGTTACTCTTATTAACAGTTAATGTGCCTTTGATGTTATGGTTGCTGCTAGTGTGTTGTAGTTCTTTAAGTTTTTTCTTCTTTTTAAGAGTGTCATTGCTTACGTTGTTGTTGCAGCAGTTGTGTTTGTT